TGTGTGTGTGTGTGTGTGTGTGTGTGTGTGTGTGTGTTCCTGTTCATGTGTCTGTCTAATTATCAAATAAACAGAAATGCAATTTCCAGATTGGAGCAAAAGTTCAGACGTGTGCGTTTGTGTTGCCATTTGCTTAATATAATTAATTTACCTCAAATAAAGAGTTAGGGAATAAAAAGATGACGATATTTTCTTGTGTTGTTCACTAATGAGGTCACACACACACAAATACACACTTTTATCATTTTGTTCTGTTCGCTTTTTACAAAGTTTTGTCAAACTTTTATTTGCATGTTGTTAAAAGTATTTGGAATCTAGTTTTTCTGTTGTTATTATAATTAATAATAATTATAATTCTAAACAATTTATCATTTCAAATGAAAATGTATAATTATAATAATTTATATAAATATATTTTTATATTTATTTATATAATTTATAAAATATATTGGTTACACTTTATTTTGTGTCCTTGTTACAGTGTAATTATACATTTAAGTACTGCGTAATATTAATTTAACTACATGTACTATATGGTTAGACTAGGGTTTGGCTTAGGGTTACTTGCATGTAATTATGCATAATTTATTGTTATTATAATAGTAAGCACATGTAACACGTGTAACAAGGATATGTTTTTAAGATACTGAAAAAACACAAATGTCAAAACTTCTCCAGGGCCCCAAAACACCCTCAGACACCAGAGGGTTAAAATAAAGCGTTGCCAATATATTTATATAATACTTATAACTACTACAAATTATTATTTATTTCTCTTTTTTTCATTATTGTAATGTTCCAAATAGTTGATTGTGGGTGAAATTGTCAGAAAGTTTTTTTTTTTTTTTTTTGTGAACATGAAACTGTTGTTTATTTACACATTTACATCTGACATTTATTTAACTTTGAAATTGTCAAAAAGTTTTTTTTTTTTTTTTTGTGAACATGAAACTGTTGTTTATTTACACATTTACATCTGACATTTATTTAACTTTCTATTTGAGTCTGATCAGGAAATCATACAGTCTAAGCATAAAATGACAGGCATGACAGATTTTGCATCAGATGTATAACGAAGCGTTGATCTCTAAGGATGTTTGGGGATTTTGATGTGTTGTGATGCACACAGGCGCATGTGTGAATAATATCACACCCCTCTGGTTTATCATATGCCGGGCTATTGTGTGTGGAGAGACAGGCTGCAGACTCGCAGAAAGGCCTGTAATGTGAGCTACTCATCTCACATAATCACCGCCATAAACAAACTATATGACATTTCTGAATCTTTGAATCTGTTACAATTAAATAGTTTTTTGGTCATTGCTGTTTTTAATTTTTATTTCACACAGGTGTGTCACTGCTATTGTTCTGTAATAACCAGCAATGTAATTTTGTCGCACTACACAACAAAATAGCTTGTTACTGAAAAATTACTGTCATGCTAATGTAAAATGAATTCTACCAAGTTAGCAGCTTTGCTACTTTTAGTTAGTTAATCCCTCAACACCGTTGTTAATTTAGTTGACTCATAATTTTCGTCAACAACATTTTTTTCACCGACGACAACGAGACTTTTTGAAACTCTTTTTGAATGACAGAAACTATGACGTAAATCTATTGACATTTTCGTCAACGAATAAAAAAGAGACGAAAATGTTGG